CTTCAATGATAGTGTTGTTAGATATGTCACTGATTTCAGAGTTGATGACTAGAAATTTGTTAACATTGCTATCTAGTGCATATCCAATAAAAGCAGCATCTACAGTCTTAGAACCAATTTTCCTCTTCTTTGGTTCGGGAATAGCTATTTTAGCTAAGCAACCCCAAACCCGGAAGAAGTTCAAATTAGGAGATTTCTCCTTCCAATATTCCTAAGGAGTTGTATCAGAATTTTTCTGGGGAATCCTATTGAGAATGAAGCAAGCAGAAAGAAGAGCTCCACCCCAGAGATTTTCAGGTGCTCCTGAACTGAGTAACATACAGTTTACCATGTCCATTAGGGTTCTATTCTTTCGTTCAGCTACCCCATTAGACTGTGGTGTATAGGGAGCAGTAACCTCATGAATAATACCGTGTTCTTAGCAATATTCAGTCATATGATTTGCCCCCCCCCCCCCCCCCCCCCCCCCGATCATATCTAAGTATCTTGATCTTCCTATCAAGTTGGTTCTCAGATTCAGCTTTGTACACCTTAAGCCTATCTAAGACTTCATCTTTAGTTTTGAGAAGATAGGTGTAATAATATCTGGAGTGATGGTCTATAAAAGTCACAAAATACCTCCTACCCTCTCGGGTGAGAACTCGGTTTGAGTCACACACATCACTATGAATTAATTCGAGGGGTTCAGAGTTTCTAGTTATAGACTTGAAGAGTTTTTTAGTGTGTTTCCCTTGAACACAGATTTCACATTTAAATGAGGGATCATGAGAAGATTTAGGAATAAGGTTTAATTTACTCATTCTCTGCAAGGTTTGGAAATTGATATGTCCAAGTCATCCATGCCAAACATTACAAGGCTCAACAATTTGTGCAACAGAAATCTCAGGAATTTCATTAGAACTAGAATTGATTACATTGAGTTTGAAAAGGCCATTATAGATAAAACATTTTCCTATGAAAACATTACTCTTTGTAATCACAAATTTGTTGGATTCTTTTATAATCCTATAACCAGCTCTAAGAAGATGAGATTCACTAATCAGATTGCGACGGAGAGAAGGAATATGATAAACACCTTGCAGATGCAGAACTTTCCCAGAAGTCATGGTGAGATCTATACGTCCACTTCCTATTTAGTTTAGTGGAGTCATCTGCTAAGCTTATGCTTCCTCCACGTGATTCCTGATAATTTGAAAACCAAGAGCGATCATTACAGATGTGGATATTTGCTCTGGAATCTAAATACCAATCAGTGGAAGAAGTTAGAGAATTTACAAGATGAGATGAAGAGGCTAACCTGAAGGAGGTTGGATTCATTTCAATCATATTTACTTTGTTTGATCTATTTTCTTTAGGGGCAGGTTTGGCCGGTTCCTTCTTCCGAAAGAAACAGTTAGGAGCCATGTGATTGGTTCTACCATAGACATAGCGGAACTTTCCATCAGACTTATGGCTGGAAGAGTTGGGATTTGATTTGAAGGAAGATTTGTCAAAAGGTTATTGTTTTTTCTTGAATTTCTTTCCTTTGGGTTTGAACTTCCTAGATTTAGGCTTATCCTCTACCAAGCTTACTTTAACTTTTGATTCATTCTTGGTTTTGGAATTTTGCCTATGCTGGTCTTTAATACGAATAGCCTTGAGGGTTTCAGTTAAGGTTAGATCTCCTTGCTTGTATCGGAGATCTCCAGCAAATCTAGACTAGGAGGGAGGGAGTTTATCAATCAAACAAGAAACATTATAGTCGTCAGTAAAAGTGTTTCCTTTTGATTGGAGATGACGGAGGAAATCTAGGAATTCATGAATTTGTTCATTAATGGCCTTGTCATTAACCATCATGAACTTATTGAAGGAGGAAGAAGTGAAACGCAGAATTCCGACATCATCATAGCCATATTCTGTTTCAAGGGCATTCCATAGGTCTTTTACACTTTTGAACTCATAATAAATGTCATAGAGATTGTCCGCAAGTGCACTAAGAATCCTATAACAACGATGATAGTTGATTTCTTCTGGTTTCATAGAGCTAGATAGGGAGCTAGCGTCAGAACCAGAAGTGGAAGGAACAGGTTGTTCAGGATCAAGAGTCAAAGGTTGAGAACCACTAGTTGAAGACTCAGGAATATCAATAGCAGATAAAAGACCTAAAGTGGTAAGCCAGTATCGCATCTGATTAGCCCATTGTTTGTAATTAACACCGGTGAACTTTTCAGGTTTGATACTTTTGGAGTGATCAGGATTAGCCATAAGTCCAATTCGAGTTTACTAGTCTAGGTAGATGGAATCTGATAGAATAAAGGATTTTGTCAATACTACTAGACCAGAAACTTAATTAAACCTGCTCTTAACTAAAAATTCTAAAAGTGAAAAGATTAAAGTTTTACCCAGGTAGTTTGGCCAGGTAAGGATAGTACTAGAAGTTGATCAAAGATCTATTAAGTACTTCGTTACTTGCAGAGCGCTTTACGTAACTCTTAAACCTTACCTTAGACACCAACTAATCCAAGAAAACTTGAACCGGTTCACTTAAAGATTTCTTGTTCCTTTACTGTATATATGTATATGAAAAGTGACCGATACAGAAATTGAGTATAGTAGCAGCAAAATAAAAACTCCTTCTTTTAGCAAATAATTATAACAGAAACAAAAAAAATATAAACTTTTTTTTCTCGAATGAACAGTAATGAACAATATCCGATTTTTTTCAGATTTAAATTAACAGCAAGAAATTTATTCAATCTTCTAGATTGCTGTCAAAACAGGAATATAATAATAACATAAAATCCAAATTAAAGAGTTAGAAAATTCAGGCCTGATCGAGAGCAGTCGTGATGTCACTGCCCTAGAAGATTGAGGACTCGTCTATCGCCCTGGCGTAATCTATCCCCACTCCCCTAGCGGTAAAACCCCCCGGAATCGGCCAAACCTCTGCGCTCGGGCGTGAGTCATAGAGCTTATGCTCAGACGAAAATGGTTGCCCAAAATATAAATGTAAAAGTATAGCCGAAATAACTTGGGAGAAAAGAGAGTGGAGAAAGAGAGCTTTGGAAGTTATTCTTCTCGTTGTTGTATATCTGAATGAGGTCTGCGGTTGCTTATATAGGTGACGAGAAGTGTAACCCTCGCTGAATCAAAGGAACTGTTACGCACGAATCTCGCTTCCGTTACCCGCATGCAGCCGTTGTAAAACGTGTAAAACGTGCAAAATAAAAGCTTGAGAAGCAAAAATGTGTGCGGTGTGGCGTGGCGCGTGGCGAGGCGAGGCGAGGCGTGGCGTGCGTGCGCGCACGCGCGTGTGTGAGATAGATATGCAAAGCCCACAAAACCTAAAACACTATTCAAAGCCCAATAAAGAGAGAACCATTATATACCCTATACTATTCATCTCTTTTTCCAATGTGGGACTATCCACAAAGGCAAAATTGCCTTTTCATAAACAAAACATCCAACAAAAATAGCAGGGAATTACTGAGTGATGAGATTAAAAAAAACTACAAAATTTGCCTATGGAAAAAAAATAAAAAAACCCCAATGACGGAGTACGAAATCATCATTTACCATCTTTAACTATCCAATGAAATAAGCAAGCCATTGGGTAAATTAAGTAGATACGATATTTGATATCAAAATCTAATTTAAATTATATATTTTTACCTATTGTAGATGCATATTCTCAAATCGAGGAAGATGACGATGATGATCAAATAATAATCTACAACCAATATTAAACCATGATATTTGCTAAAGACAAAAGAGAGGAAAAATTGTAGGTATTTCACTGAATCATCGAAAGTGATCGAACAGGGAAGACAATAGCAGCAAAAATAGCTAAAATTGTTACTGCAAAAAATGGTTTAAATTTGGTATTTTTGTGTAATTGTTTTTTGCATAATTGATTGGAGAAAGAGATTCACATGTGTTTTTAAACTAACGCCTCATTTGGTACGTGAGAATCGACGAAAATGAGAATGAAATGGACTAAGTAATGGAATGGAATAAATGTGAGAATGGAATACTCATTTCCATTCTCACGGTTTGAGTGCAATTTATAAAATGAAGTGGGAATGGACGTATTTTAAAATTTTATATTTTATTGAGTTCCACTTAAGTGAGAATGCCTATTCCGTATCATTGCATTGAGAATGCTCATTCCCACATAAAATGAGAATTGAGGAGAATTGAGAATGTACATTCTAGCTTTAAAAAAGATGTTGTGTTTGGTAGAAAGGAATGAGAAGTGAGAATTGATATTCCATTCTCACTCATTTCTGCGTACCAAACCAGGCCTAATGGTTAACATTTAAAGTGAATACTTGATTTAAAAAAGGAAGTAGATCGACGGTGTGGATCGTTGTACACACGGCAAAAATATTTGCTAAGAAAAAGCTGACATGTCAACTTATGGAGAGTTTACAGTCTTTTGATTCTCCTTTAGATTATACACCAATAAAGATTGTATTCTATTTCTCATGTACAATAGAAGTAAGAATTAGATCTCCTTATTTCTCTATAGCTTTAACCTTTTACAAAATACAACATTGGGTTATAAGAGTAGGGGCAGTTCAGATACGGCTTGGATACAATATTTATTGTCTTTGTTTCTATTCCAAATTACGAATACAAATACATACATGAGTATGCCTCATTAAGAAAAACTCATATCCATATGCACTAAAATTAGATACGGATACAGATGTACGGGTGGATATACGTGCAAATAAAGAATAGATATGAGAAAGTCATATAATATTAAAAAAATATAGACCATGTGATACAACATATTTTATTAATATGTTTTTTTATATCGGAATAAGCTAAGATTAAGTCTCTTGATCATTAAGCTCAAATTCACTAATATTAATATAAGGATTAATATTTGGGTGTTTTGCGAGGTAAAAAAAGTTGAGGGGTCTTCGTGAAACTAACCCAACATTTAACTAGCCCGAATAACATGCGGGTGGAAACTTCAACCCGACCCATTAACAGTAGTAGTAAATGATGGAGCTAGCTCCCGCTTTTTCTCTTCGCCTCTCGTCTCTCCATTGAACTCAAACCCTGGAGAAACCCTAACAAATAAAAATGGAAGAAGAGACTTTGATCGAAGGAGAGAACACCAAGGAACTGTCTCCCGCTTTGATTTCCGTACATCCTCTTGATAAGTTCGTCGTCGTCGCTGTTGGATCTGAACTCCGCGCCTTCGATTTAGGGTAAACTTCCTTCTTCTCTTAAAAATTGATACTTTATCTGATTTTGTTTAGTAATTTTTGATTTCACGAGCCCAAGTATAGAATTTAGTTCAGTATTTGTTGGGACGATTGTGGGGTCTGCGATTCAAAGTAAAACAGTACAAGTTCCTAATACCAGTTCTTATTTATCCTCACTTTTTATCTTTTGTTTTGTTAGTGGGTAGTCCATAGTGTTGGTGTTTAACTGAGGTATTGAGGACAAAAGACGGAATTTTGATGACTTTTTGAACTTTTTATTTGATCTCCTCTTCGAATATCATAATCCTTTCTAGGAGGCCCAGGAGAACTCACCCTTAAAAGATACCCGTCAGAGGGAGATCAAAGATACCTGTCAGAGGGAGAAAATCCAAATTCTTATAAACCCACGAATTGAATCCAAATTCTTATAAACCCACGAATTGACTCTTGTTTGATCAATGCGAGACTGGATGAACCCTAACAGATCGTCATGTGTCCATAGTCTCGGGGCTAGCTTTGCACTAGTCTAGTCTAGGTCAAACACTGCGATCCTGGGTCACCCATTTGGCTTTGCAGTGGACTAGTCCTGGACAAACACTGCAGTGGTAGTGTGGTATGGTCGCCATTAACATTGCTATGCTACCATTTGTAATTGTTTAAGACATTGTTTTAAAAAGCCTCTACCTAGTCTGCCTAGACGTATGTCTAGGCCTAGGCGGTATCTAGGCCGCCTAACTAGCGCTTAGGCCGTACCTAGGTTGCCCATCTAGATTTTATGAGTGTTTAGGGGAGCATTGTCTGCTTACGTTGACAGTATCCTTTAGACATTGGTCGTGATTTTCTATGTTGCAGCCTCCACGTCCTCCAAATTCCGTCAAACTCCTTTAACCTCCAAATATCAACACCTACATTATCTCCTCCGATCTTCAGCAAAACCTCCTCGATCAGCAATTAAATGAAGAAAAAACTCCGCCTAGATACTAGTCAAGCACATAAGCTTTCTATAACATTTACATTTACTATCGATTATTATAATTAAAAAATAAAAAAACTCCTGGGCTCTAGGCATCGAGTCCAACGCCTAGGGCTTCTAGCGCTTTCTATAACCTTATTAGTTATTATTTTGGCTATTTAGTATTTAAGTATGCATGGTTTATTGTGGATCTAAAGATTGCTATTTTTTTGGCAAATTTATATGAATTTAACACATGTTTATCAATTATTATAATTAAATAATTTTTAAAATAGTAAAACGCCTAGGTGCCGTCTAGACGTACACCTAGGTGTCTAGACGTTAGGCACTGGCTTAAACACCTAGACCGCCTAACGCCTTCTGTAACATTGGTCTAAGAGAAACTCACCACCAAAAGTTGTTATAGAGAGGAAATCCAAATCCCTTGTAAACTCACAATTGATTCCCCATTAATTCAATGTGAGACTTAATTGACCCTAACTTCCTTTGTGTCCTTGAGTTAAATAATGCCATATTATATGTGTCTTTGTGAATTTGTGTGAAGGTTTTGTGGTGTTTTATTGCATTGCTAAACTTGAGTTGTGTATTTGGCGGTAGATTTGAGAAATACCAAAGGATAGTTATTTTTTTATTAGTGCTTAGGTAGATGAATATTTTATGGTTGATTCTTTCTTTTTAGTTCCTCAATGTATAAGGAAGTTCTTTGACAAACCGTACTCTACCCTCTATTCGAACTAATTTTTAGTTCTTTCTTCTGTCAGATGGATTGTAATTGCATTATTCTCAGCCTGGGGAGTGGCTATTTCATTTTTAGCTCATTTCTTGCAATAGATCTGTTGCCATTCATGATCTTCTTCCGTAAGCATGGTCAAGGGAAATTTGTAGATAGGCACATTGTTACATGAAGTTTGTTACATGAAGTTAAACTACATGACCAACAAGTTGAGTATGTCTACTTAGTAATTCACTATCAACACAATATTAGATCTTATTAGTCCTTGCTTTTTAAGTTTGTTTTGTTAGTGGGAAATCCAAAGTTTTGGAATTTGATGATTATTTGAGCTTTTTAATTTTTCTCCTCTTCGAATATCATGATCCTTTCTAGGCGACCCAGGAGAACTCACCCCTAAAAGATATCTGTTAGAGGGAGAAAATCCAAATTCTACATAAACCCACAATTGACTCTTACTTAGTCTATGCGAGACTGAACGCATCCTAACATATTATCATATGTCTGTAGTCTCAGTGCCTACCTAGGTTGGCTTTACACTAGTCTAGACCAGGTCAAACACTGCAATCCCGACGTCACCCCTGTGGCTTTCCTCTAGAATAGTCCTGAACAAACACTGCATTGTTACGGTTGCCATCAACACCGCTACCATTCGTAAGGCACCTAGGAGAACTGACCCCAAAAACTAGTTGTTAGAAAGAGAAAATCCAAATCCCTTATAAACTCACAATTGATTCCCCATTTAGTCAATGTGAGAGTCAATGGACCCTAGCATCCTTTTTGTCCTTGAGTTAAATAATTCCATATTATATGTGTCCTTGTGGCTTTATGTGAAGGTTTTATGATATTTTACTTCATTGCTGGATGTGAGTTGTGTATTTGGCGGTAGATCTGAGAAATACCCAAAAATAGTTATTTTTTATAGCTGCCTAGGTAGATGAATATGTTATGGTCGATTCTTCTTTTTAGTTCTTTCCTAAATGTATGGAGAAGTTCTTTGGCAAACCATACTCTGCACTCTATGCAAACTAATTTTTAGTTCTTTCTTCTGTCATATAGATTGTAATTGCATTATTCTCAACCTGAGGAGTGGTTGTTCCATTTTTACCTCATTTCTAAGATAAATGTGATTATCTATTGCCATTCATGGTCTTCTTCCTTAAGAATTTTGGTTACACGAAGTTAAAATACATGACCAACAAGGTGAGTATGCCTACTTGGTAATTCACTATCAACACAATCACCTTTCTCATAGTTTACCTTTGGAAAAAAATTAGCACCTAGATGTAAAGGAATGATAGTAATCTCTTTTGGAGTTTCCTTGAACTTGATGTTGAGCTCCAAAGCAAACACTAATGGGAAACAATGGAGCTGATGATAATGGAGTGATATGAAAATGACCTTGACAATTTTGATAAAAATGATGATTATCTACATGACGGGAAAAGATTTAGTATGTTGAAAATGACAAGTGAACAATGGGTTAAAGAAAAAAAATGCAAAAAGACTTAACACACAGCGTAGGTTATTTTGTTTATTAATTATTTACATATTTTTTAAATCAAAGTATTCATAGTTATATTAATAATTAGAATCTTTAGAATTTACACACAACATCTCAATTTGGAACAAATTATTTTGTTTCTTTATGCAAAACCACCACAAACTATAGTGATTTTTCGAGGAACCACGAGCAAATTTTAAATTTTCGTAAAACCACCAACAAAGTGCCACCAGGAAATAATTTTCATCTATATTCTATTTAATAATATATTACATTCGTAAAATATCTTCATGGTGGGACCCATCTATTCTTATATTATATTTTCTCATCCTAAACAAACACCTTAATTCCCTCCAAAAGTTAGTTAACTCCCTCAAAAAACTTGTAACTCCCTCCAAATTACCCATTCATCCTCCAAAAGTTAGTCAAAATGGATATTTATATCATTTTATACTCTTATTTAACAAAATATGAACGAAAATATGACTTGGTCGCACTTTGTTAATAGTGCATAATATCATAGTGGTTTTACAAAAAAATGAAAATTTAGTGGTGGCTTTCTGAAGAAGCACCATATTTTATGGTGGTTTCGTGTAAAAAAAACCAATTATTTTCTTATTGTTTAGTTGAAAAATATAAAATATATTCATCATAATTTTAAGGATTAGAATATTTTAGTAAAAAATCTTCAATTTAATTTATGCTATATAGATTTAATAAGCAGTATCACAATCGAATACTCAAGTATATATTCATAAATTTATAGCTCGTTCATAATTACATTCGTTTTATTAGTCATATTCATAATTTTACAATCACATAATAATGTCATGACAACAAGACATGAAGCCTTATAGAAGTAATTATAGAAGTAATTACTTAACTACCTCAAGTTTTAAGAAATGATATAGATATACTCAAGTCTCTAGAACTTGTATTGAAATAATGCAAGTTATATTGAAACAATGCATGCTATATTGAAATAACACATTATATTGTAATAACGTAGAGTATGATGTGTCTAAGTTATTTCATAAGGTTACATAACGTTTAAGGTCTTTTAGGTTAACATAGTGCAACATAATGAGTTACTTAATGAAATTTTTAAACAATGAGATTACTAGTCCTAATATGACAATCAAGCTCTCCCTCCCTCCCTCCCTCCCCCTCTTTCTCATATAGATTAAACATCAAGTTGACCGCAACTTACAAACTCATTTAATTTTTCAATGGAGCTGTTTCACACTTGTGATCCACTAACCATATTTACAAAAAATGTTGAAAATGACTTTGATTTTAGGCGTTATATTTTAGCACCTTGCTAAGTAGCTGTTTCACACTTGTGATCCACTAACCATATTTACAAAAAATGTAGAAAATGACTTTGATTTTAGGCGTTATATTTTAGCACCTTGCTAAGTAGCTTGCTTCTCTGATTTCTGTCCGAATATTCAGATTTATTTATTGCTGGAGAGCAACGTGATTGGATCATTCTAGATCATCTGAGCATTGAATTGACTATTAATATACAATCTTTAAACTACTCAACAGATTCATAAGACTCATTGTCTATTCTATTATTTGTCTCAGATTTGCTAATTATAGTCTTCGATGCATTTTTTGAACCGTTCATGGAGCCTTGTGCCCAACAACCAAGCCCATTTCAGTTAGAAGAGGTGAAATTTCACAAAGAATAATTATTCTGTGATACATTTTAATTATTATGTTGTACTAGAATCTGAGATAGAGTAGCATTATGACCATTTCAATTGTAAAATACAATGTTTTAAAAATATCCCGCCTAGCACTTAAGAGCGCGCAGGGGAGCGGAGATCGCTTACATGGACTGGACCCCTAGCTTTTGGTCGTGATTTCCTCTGTTGATGCCTCCACATCCTCGAAGGCTCGAACCTTCTGCAAACTCCTTTGGCCTCTATCGACTACAAACACCTCATTCAACTCTGACCTTCGGCGAAACCTCATTCTCCACTACTTAAACAAAAAAAAAAATCCTCTTAGGCCTGGTGCTTTTGATAACATCAATTGTAATTAAAAAATAAGGAAAAAGCCTCGGCTCCGCCTAGGTGCCTAGACTGTAGGCGTTGGGTCCGCTGCCTAAGCCACCTAGCACTTTTATGTGATATTCACGACGACAACTTGGTTAATAATGTAGACTTTTGGTTCTATGCTACATTGTAGTTAGTAGTTATTATATTGTAATTTGTAACTTGTATTAAAACTTGAGGTGGACTCGTAAGGGTGTGTTTGCAACTCCTCAAAATGGTGCCACGTCCTAATTTGTCCTTATATTGAGAAAAAAGTATATTTGAGTAAAATTGGGCTAACATAGGTCCGGTTTTTCTAAGGCGAAATTTGACCTTTTAAGCTGGTTTTGTTCTGGACTATTTTCCCCTTAGTCCAAAACAAAACTGGTTTACTTTAAGACATGGTCAGGATTAGTACAGACCTAATTTTAGGATGGCACATCCTGCGTAGCTCCTTAAAATGGTGCCAAATTGATCTTTGTCCTATTTTGAGAAAAAATTTGTTTGGTAAAACTAGTTAAGCATTGGTCTAGTTTTTCTTAGGCCAAATTTAGCCCTTAAAGTTGATTTTGTTTAGGTCCACGGTCCACCTTCTATATGGACCAAAGCAAAACTAGGGTCAGGCTCAATCCTGGCCTAATTTTAGGGTTGTTGTCAAACACATCCTACTTTAGCCTTATGCTTACCTCACATGTAGCTTTTTTAAGTAAATGTCAATTTTCTTTGGAGTTTCTTGGGGTGGGTGGGGAGTTCTGAAGAACATTGTGAATTTTTTTCTTAACTGTTGACTGTGTTTAAATTCCAACTATTTTGTAATATGTTGCAGCAGAATAGAAGCAGTTGAATCCTTTTGCAATATAGGACCTATTGAGTACAAATTGTAAAGTCCACTTTTAAGGAGCTTCTTCAAAGATTATGCTTAAGCACGAAGGACATTCATGAAAGAATCATGACATACATGCCAGGTAGATGTTGGACACTAAAGAGTATATAAGCTTACCTTGTGGTGGATTTTTTTAAACCTAGAAATCAGCCTCATATATTAATTGAGAATACCCCTGTATAATGAAGGAAGCATATGTTGGCAGCTAATTCACACGTGAACTCTCGATAAAGAATACTATGTACACGTAGCTGTAGCTGATCTACTTACATATTGTATAGGTACAACTTTTAGTCTAATTGTTCATGGTATAACTTCTTCTGTCTTATCTTCTTTTTAAGTCTCCAGTTCTCAAATGTGAATGTTATATTGAACTTGTATTTTCTTTGTCATTTTGCACATGACATATACACTTAATTACTGTTGAGACTAAATGACGATCTTCATCATTCTTAATTAAGCTCTTTTTTTAATAGAGAACAACAAGCGATTTCCCTGTCAGATAGTAGTGGTGGCCCATCTCACTCTGATGCCATAAGAGCGATATGCTTTGGTGCAAAGGGCAAGGTTTTTGCTTCTGCTGGAGATGACAAGCTTGTCAAGATTTGGATGACGGATTCATGGCAATGTGTACGGACTGTGTAAGTCACGTTCTAGCATTCATGTGGCATGGATTTTATAGTCATTTTTACATGGTTTTGTTTTGCTTATCTAAGAATATGATTTAAGACCTAAGAGAGGAGAGACGTCTCATTCTACTATTCATTTTACATGGATTTCATTCATCTTTTGTGTGCTTTTGTTTCATTTCTCTGACAATATGATGCAAAACGTTATAGAGGAGGGATTTTACCTCTCCAAATACAACTCGATTTGATGTAGAAGATTTGTAGAGGTAAATTAATGGAGGAAACAATAATATGTTTCATGTTATTGGCACATCTCATGTGTTTTCTCCTGTTCTCATGAGTTTATATGCTCTTGTTGATCACAATTCATAGTCTAATCTTTTATTCACTGAGAACTCTTACTTCAAATTCTCTTCTTGAGAGGATCCCTTTTTCTTAGTGATTCAGGAGGATCTTTATGCATCAGAGAAGAAACTGGACCCTGATCTAGCAAGTACCAACAAAGGATACCAAAGTATGGCATAATAAACTAGACAACTAGACATAAAAAGTATACATGGTACCATCACAAACTCTTTCAGTGGCAAATGGAGAAATGTTCTCTTTGAGCTGATCTATCAATAACGTTATGATCAGTTCATTGACGAAACTTAGAATATAAACTGTGCTAGGTTGCGGTTTTGATGACATTAGTTTAGGAGGATTTGTTGGAATGTTTGAGAATTTTTTTTGAATTTTTTTAACGCTAACCCTCTAGAGTTAGTAGTCTAACCTAGTGGCTAAAGAGAGAGTACCCAACTTTAATAGATATTAGAAATCTCTAGATTGAGGAATTAATAGAAACTAACATTGATTTGAAAGACAATCTCATATCAATGCTAGACAAAATCTTTGATTGGGATAAATGGAAAAAATCCTTAAAGCAAGTTCTATTCAATTCTATAAAAGTTTGTGGTCAACTCATCAAAGGAGAGTGAACAAGAGATGGGGAATAAGAAAATATCCTCCACCACTACAAAAACTATCATATTCTAGTTTTTTTCGCGTGATAGATATTAGAAATCTCTAGATTGAGGAATTAATAGAAACTAACATTGACTTGAAAGACAATCTCATATCAATGCTAGACAAAATCTTTGATTGAGATAAATGGAAAAAATCCTTAAAGCAAGTTCTATTCAATTCTATAAAAGTTTGTGGTCAGCTCATCAAAGGAGAGTGAACAAGAGATGGGGAATAAGAAAATATCCTCCACCACTACAAAAACTATCATATTCTAGTTTTTTTCGCGTGATAGATATTAGAAATCTCTAGATTGAGGAATTAATAGAAACTAACATTGACTTGAAAGACAATCTCATATCAATGCTAGACAAAATCTTTGATTGAGATAAATGGAAAAAATCCTTAAAGCAAGTTCTATTCAATTCTATAAAAGTTTGTGGTCAACTCATCAAAGGAGAGTGAACAAGAGATGGGGAATAAGAAAATATCCTCCACCACTACAAAAACTATCATATTCTAGTTTTTTTCGCGTGATAGATATTAGAAATCTCTAGATTGAGGAATTAATAGAAACTAACATTGACTTGAAAGACAATCTCATATCAATGCTAGACAAAATCTTTGATTGAGATAAATGGAAAAAATCCTTAAAGCAAGTTCTATTCAATTCTATAAAAGTTTGTGGTCAGCTCATCAAAGGAGAGTGAACAAGAGATGGGGAATAAGAAAATATCCTCCACCACTACAAAAACTATCATATTCTAGTTTTTTTCGCGTGTGGACCGGACATGGCAATCTTCCCTATGGACCCTAACCAATTAACGAGGTGGTGTCAAAGCACAATATCGTCTTGTGAGGTTGACGACTGTATGTATTGGCGTAAATTCTTCGACGTTTATATAAATAGTGGAGGAACGTTAATGAGGTTGAATTCTGCAAATGTGATTTTTCATACATAAATGACACTATCAACTTTGAACGTATCAATCAAACATGACATCAATGAGTCACCTACAAGAGGTTGATTGAAAAGTCAAATTGGTCAGTCACTACCCGATATTGTGAGGCAATTGCAAAAGAATCATTCAAATAACGTATACCATAGTAATAGACCACTTGACTGGGTAGTCAATTGAAGTGGCGTAGAGCTCCATACATGCGGCTGTGTAGGGCTTTAGCAACCAAAACAGGGGGATTTTGATGAGATATTTGGAATAAATATGGAATTGTTTGGTATAGACCAACTAAATGGAGGAGTCTTATCTAGAGAAATAACTAGAGAAAGAATAAACACCCAACTCTAAATAGAAGAGAAGATTTTGATTGTTAAATCAGTAGAAAATTGGCAACTTCATGGACGAAAAAGGATTCCAACACTTCACCAAGGGCTGGTGATGCGGATCAGAGGTGATGTTGAATAGTGTTCGAGTGAACAGTCCCCATAAATGGTATTTTTCTTTTTTTAAATTATTTTAGTAATAAAAGACCAAATAAGAAAAGATAAAAGATAAATAGGTTAGACCGGATTCACTCATAGCATCTAACATCTAAAAATAATGGTTTCACACATAGTGGCCTTATCAAAAAGCATGACTTCACGCAAATGAAATCACTCCAAAATTGTCTGTCAAAACTCAAATTTTATTCATCAATTTTTTATCTCAAATAAAAAATACAACTTTATTTATAGGACTAAAAGAAAATCGTAATAAAAAATAAAATCCCAACTGTTGGATAACAACAAATATAGATCCTAACAAAATAACAACTACAATAACTAAATAGTAACTTCAGCCTAAAAAAAATATCTCAACAAAAAAAAAAAATCTTAAAATTCATAGATCTGATCTGTCCTTCATCAGATCACCCCTTTTTAAATTGGACATCCTCGTCGAAAATGCTAAAAGGTCGTATGTTTTTTGCAATGTCATCACAAACGTTTTTGAATTTTGCTTCGATTCAGACTTTAAATTGTTGCATTGCCGATGGGCAAACTAAAACAGTGGAGCTCTTCGGCTCTGATACCAAATGATGCGGAACAGAGGTGATGATGGATAGTATTTGGATGAACAGTCCCCATAAACAATATTTTTCTCTTTTTAATTTTTTTTGTAGTAATAAAAAGACCAAATAAAGAAAGATAAAAGATAAATAGGTTAGACCGGATTCACTCACAGCATTTAACCTCTAAAAACAATGGAAAAGGTCGGTTCTCACACAGACGCCTAATCAAAAAAAAAACATGGCTTCACACCAATTTTCATCAATTTTTTCCATCAAATTTCCATCTCAAATGAAAAAAATACCTTATTTATAGGACTAAAAGAAAATAGTAATAACAAGAAAAAACATCTCAATAAAAAATATAAAATCCTTAAAATTCCTAGATCTGATCTGTCCTGCATTATCTAGGGAAGATTATCTATTTTAGAAAAATTGCTAGGAAACTCAGACAAATCCTATGAGAAGGGGCATTCTACTTTAAAACCATTATAGTCATATAATATCAATTTCAGAGGTTATAAGGGTGCATGAATAAAGAAATATATCCCAATATTATAATTATTTTCTACCACTGATATCCTTACAATGAAAGAAACAGAGTGAGGGTGGGAGGATGGGTTCTCCTCTTTTTGATTATATGAATCAATTAGTGATATTACATGTAAAAGATACCTGTCAAACATGCACCAAGATAATTCGAAAGACTCAAAAAGAGTAATACATGAATTGGCTTTCCTGTTGTTTTCAGCTGACTGACTGATGGCCACATGCTTCATTGACGAGTTGACTTCTAAATCAATGTAAGGTTGTTGAAGCTGTTAACAATGCTGGCAGGGTAACTGGATGGTGTGAACTGGTTAGTCATTTCTTGTCCAGGGGTAATGGGGCGCTGGCATGTTGACTGTTTAAGTCATGCAGTGAAGTTTACCCCCTTCACTCACAAGTATATTGCTTTCTCTCAAATGACCTTTCAAATCAAATCTGAAACGAATGCTGAATTATTACGAACTATTTGATAGTTGTTTGATCAACTTTCACCCATATGTGGTTCCAACACCTTCTCATGAAGGCGTACGAAATTCTTGAGTGTGGTGCATGTAATATACACATAATATCTTTGTTTTCTAGCTTACATATGCTTGTACCTTATCTTTTCAGTTTGCACTATATGTATATATATGTATGTATGTACACACACGCACACACACACATATGCATATACATATTTGATAGACAGTCTGACGTATATGAATAATTCATATTAGCCAAATCGCCTATACATCAATACTTAATTGTTTTACTTTCTGCAGGTGCTCAGAAAAGCGAGTTAGTGCAGTTGCAATAAGCCATGATGGTCTCTATATTACTTTTGCTGATAAATTTGGTGTCGTTTGGGTGTTGGATTTGAATGAAGATGGTAATGGTCGAGCAGTGGCAGATAAGAAGGCTCTACCCATGTTAGGTCATTACTGCAGCATTATTACTAGCCTGGTAAGAATTAGGACTTTATGAATTTTTCCTAATTTTTATGTTAAGACTTGTTCATCAATCAAAAGGAGAAATTTGCATCTGGAATCATTCTTTTAACTTTTTTATCCTATGTCCTTGGGAAAAATTTACCAATGTTGTGGCACGAGTACTAAACAACAATACTTGCTGGGCCACCCCATATTTTTGTATTTGTGTTTAGTTTGAATTATATTATTATTTCATGTAAATCTCTGCTTCTTTATTGCCTGTGTATAATTGCCTCTAGCTTTCAAACTGCAGGAATTCTCACCGGATAGTCGGTTCATTGCTACTGCAGACCGGGACTTCAAAATTCGTGTACTATGTTTGAAACTTCTTAATAAATTTTAAAGACTACTTCTTTGTTTAAATATAGGGGATCCATCTGGCTTCTATATTTTTGCAGATTACTAAGTTACCCAAAAGTCCCCAAAAGGGAGCACATGAAATCCAAAGTTTCTGTCTGGGGCACACAGAGTGAGTTCTCATTTTGATTTTTTGTATGCTCATTTAATAAAAAAATATTTATTAAGGTATGAATGTTGAGATTCAAGACTGCTCAAGTGATCAGTAGTAGATTATCCATTGTTGTTAGTTACTTTCTAATGTATAGGCTATACTCAATTGCTGGGTGTAGGATATCTCATCATCTGGAAATAAGAGGTGCGAAATATTGGTGTAAGCAATACCTGGTGAAGCGTGACATTCTGTGTTAAAGACAAAAGTATGGAAGTGTTTGAGTGAACAACCTTGAGCCACTTGAATATTATTGTTTGTCAGGCATCCATCTATGTTTGTCCTTTAAATTTGGTCATATACCATTTTGAAATGGTATCCTCTAGTGCTTGCCAAGCTGACATCTTTAGATATCCATTGTCTGCCTGTCAAGAATACATTAACATCTTAAGTAAGGTTGGAATTGACTTATATTCACCAATTTTTCCTTAAATAAATAAAGATTTCACTCCAGATGGCTTATATACAATGTTTTCTTTCCTTGAATAATCAAACTTTTCGCATTTGGTCCATTACGTCTCAGCTACTGTGAATTATATATTCATTGAAATGAACCCATGGTTATATTTCTAACTGAAAATACAAGAAAACCCTTTTTAATTATGATTTTTTCAGTAAAATATTAACCACCTACAGTTTGAAGATTCAAAGATCCTTGTGCTATTGAAATTCACATTTGCATACTACTAAAAATAGATGCTGTGCATTCTTTCTCGTAAACTGATTTATCACTAGCACTAGCAATGTCATCAGACTGGAGGGTGGATTTGTCAAATCATAGGAAGATCTGATCTGTTCAATTGGGTGCTCCTTTTAGTAAGGTTATGATTTCATGTAAATGCGGTTTGCACATGAAGACTACATGATATTCATATTAGTACATAATTCTGCTTATCGAAAATTGAAGTAACGTCATCCACCCCCAAGTGCAGTTTATTTTTAAGCAACTCTGCTTAAAAGTAGAAGCCTTTTGCAAACCTTTCATTACAAGCTAGTGTCTTTTATGAACTCGATGTAAAAGAACAAACATTTAGTCCTGAACCAATGTTGATATTTTACTTAGATAATTTGAACCTCTGATTATTAGCCTAGTACTTTTGGACCCCTCATGTGTTGATTGCATGACATGTTATTGGAATAAGAAACTTAAATAACTTTAAACTGAAATAAGTGTAATTTTGAAAAAATGTTAGCATGTTAATGATGTAAACAATCATGCAAAATCTCTCTTCCAGTAATACAGTTGACTAGTTATTTTGCTTTGTCTTTACGCCTGCTAAGCTTTTTAATATGTAAAACATGAGCTAGGATCTTAGACTTTAATTCTGCTTGCAGTATCTGCACTGTTAGAAGCCTCATACTTGATATCAGCTTATCTTATTGATTTGTGGTCTATGGTGGCAGCTTTGTTTCATCTCTTTCCTTTATATCTTCTCTCGATCACCCAACGGGTTTCCTCCTGTCTGGGGGCGGTGATGCAACGGTGAGTACACATCTACTGACGAGTTAATGGAATCTAGAGTCTGTCATCAATTTATTTTCATTTTTCAGGTACGATTGTGGGATTACATCTCTGGATGCCTTCTTGGTAATTGTGAAGTTGGAGCTAAGGTGAAGTATTATTCTTTTCAGATTAATATGTTAGAAGCATAACAGACATGTTAATTTATCAGTTTATTCTGTAACATAGTATCTTTGAATGCTACCTTCTGCAACTAAATTTGAAAAGCCAAAAAGAGCAAAATGTTAACCTTATAAACATGTATGCATATTGTAATGCAAACCATCGTCACTTGGATGTCTCTTTTGAAAGATGATTTGTGCGTCATGTCAGCAAGTAGAGACTTGGAGAACGATGATGCGTGAAACATTTTGGAAATATTGGACAAACCATTTGTCTGGTTGATTGTAGGACAGCCGTTTTCTGTTAGAAAGGGAGAGAAAATGACAGCCATTTTCTGTCAGAAACGGCAGAGAAAATATGTATCATATGAATGAAGAAACATATATTAACTTGTCCTTGCATTATTGCTTTGATGCGGTAAATAAGAGGACCAATCTTGTTTTACTATTTGTTCCTTGCCACAGTTGCCTTAGCTGCAGAAAATTGTAATGGCTGAGAAACCATGTTAGTGGAATCTGAGAGTGGTCTTCCATTGTTTTAATCCATCAAAATTATGAACATATGGAAAGTAATAGTTGAATTATGTGCACCTTTTGGTCAGGAAAAGTTGAATTTGTAATCTATCACTTTGACTAGTATATTGGAGAGAGGGATGGGCATCAAATATAAAGGAATATATGTTACTGCCAATGTCCATTATCTGATAGCATAAATAGGAAATTGCTGCCCCTTAGTCTTTTCTGTCTTTTTCCTACGCAAGTACCAATGTATCAATGTCCCAAAATAATCTCCATGTTTTATTTCTCTTATAATTAACTAATGAAGGTGGTGTAATTCCCTTCATGTTATTCAGCTTATTCTCTTTTTGTAAGCTGCCTGTTTTGCTTTGTGAAGGCAGGATTGATAGCCTCTAATAAAACAGAAAAGGAGACTTGTCAAGCAGTCACTGACATACAATCTTTTCCTGATGTCTTTATACACACACAAAACACATATAATAACACAGATATATTATATAAAATCTTTTGTGTTGTTGGTCTTTAATTCTGAGTTTGGCTTGTAAGTGCTAATGTAATGAGTGGCTTATTTTTGTAATTACAGCTTAAATGGGGTAGTACTTCTGAAGTGTGAACTATCAGCCAGAACTCTTTCCATTGCCAGGGTAAGAAATTGCTAGCATGACTTAGAAGGAATGGTACCGAATTCTATGCAGATGAACCGAAGCTGATGATATGTTGTAGTATATTTGTGATTGCTCATTCTCTCCTAATTGCAGCCCTCAGTATGAATTTCGATTATAATTGACTTCTTCCAAAATTTTTTACATGGGATTTGTATTCTCACCACTCCTATAACATTTTCATGAACACATCCTCATGTTAACTGACACGTTTCATTAATGTAACTCGAATTCTGTTATTCACATCTATGTCCTTTCAGCCATGTATCTTTGCTACCCTTACAAGAGATGGCTGTTTAATTGAACTTTACACTTTTTTGGCTTGCTGGGACATTATCCTCTTCTTGTAGAGATAAATGTTGGAAATATATGCGATACATCTGTTCATGCCTGGAACGTTAAGATGCTGAATGAAGATTTCTTTGGACATTGAAGAGAAACTAGTTTCTATTGATTTAAGAAATGTATATCCCTTGATACACTATGCCTGAAAAAAGCATCTCTTGAACTCCAGTTTATAGGAATAAATTATAATTAAAAGAGAAAAAAGTTATTCCAATAAAATTATGTTTACATACTTAATTTTGGGTTATGTTCTATGTATGTATTGGTATCCACTCCTTGTAGCAATATATGTACCTTATGTTGAGTATCTCTAATCTTATTCTTGATATATTACATAATACTACGGTTGAGTCATTTTTGTATATATGTACCTTATGTTGAGTATCTCTAATCTTATTCTTGATCTATGACATAATACCATGGTTGAGTCATTTTTGTATATATGTACCTTATGTTGAGTATCTCTAATCTTATTCTTGATCTATGACATAATACTACGGTTGAGTCAGTTACTCCTCAATCCCCTCCCCCCTCTCTCACTTCCAAAACCGAAGCCCAGCCTCCTTGCCGAACCCCCCCCACCATCGAGCCGACCACGACGCTCAGCGACCGGTGACCTTGTAGCGCCCTTGTCGTCCAGCGACCACGCCTCGGGTGACCGGTGACCCGCGCAGCGACCCCCCGCTCGTGACCAACACCTCGGACGATTCGGTAGCCCCGCCGCCAAGCCAAGTACCGGTGGTCGCTACGGGCGGTACGGCCTCATGACGACGAGCACGGGGGTCGGCGGCGCCAAGGAAGCCTATGTAGCGCTCAAGGTTGGAAGGGAGATAGGTTGGACGAGGTTGGAGCTAGGAGGATCAGAAGAGGAGAGCCAAATATTGATAACAGTAACATGATGACGGTGAGATAAGGGTATATAGGTAAAGAGAGATTTTTGGAAAAAAGTGGGGTTTTTTTGCAAACTTACCATATCAATAATACCTCTCTATCTTAGATTGGTATGATACAGATCAGTCCTACATCTAACTTAACTAAGTTTCAATGGGAGTAACTAGTATATATATATGGTAACCAAGATTCTTCACATTTTTCTCTATATTATATATATATATATATATATATATATATATATATATATATATTATATTATAAATATAAATTATCAAGGGGTGAGGAAAAGTTGAATTTAAAAGGTACATCTAAGCTTGTATACCCACCTAAGGACGTCCGGCCTAAAATTCACATCATTTTCTAAAATTTTTTGTATTCGATCTGCCTTAGTGAAGTCCCTCTGCTTGACTTTGATCTGACATGCTTCTGTAACCCAAACACCCCACCAATTTGGTGAACCGTCGCTGTTTTTGGACCCCTTTTACTCCACTCGTTGTAATTTTTAACGGTTTTCCGAATGAATAAACCTTTTATTTGCCCACCGTCAACGAAGGTCAAAAAAACCAAACGGGGAGTCACCTTAAATGCCGCTGTAGGCCCAGCCTGGCAAAAATCCAGCGCGGACTAAAAGCCAACAGTGAACGGGTTAAAACCCTAAGGGTCTTCCAGCGCGGGTAGGGTACCAAGCAGCTCCAGCGTGGTAAAATCCAAGCCCCAAGTCTTCTACCTATAATAAACCTATTACCTAGCGCGTTTCTTTTTGAGTGTGTAGGGAATAAGGCCTGCGCTGGAAAAGCAGAGAGTTAGGCCAGAACACCAAACCATGGTCATACACAGAAGGAACACTGCAAGAATTCACTTGATAAATCTCAAATTTTGCCGACGAACACTAGAAGAAAACACTCGCCGAACATCCACCAGAGAGATCTGAAAACACCAAACCAGGTTACATACCAGGCCCCAAACAGCCTGCTGCCACTTTACTGCGCGCTGCCTACGCTACCCTCCACTTGCGATCAAGCTAACCGAGCTTCTGATATTGTTCTCCATCATAATTGCTCTCCACCTCACCCCCATTCACCGGCCCCGAAGCGCCATTGCCGTCGTTGCAAACTCCAAACACGGCGCTGAAATGAAGCAAAGTCCAAGCCAAGCCTTAAACTTGTTACCTGTGCACCACCTTGTATTAACATGTCATGCCCGGGATCTCATTCGTGTGCACCTTCATGAGAGAAATATCACCTTCTCTATGACATCCCGCCACGAAATGCCATACCTGACATCGATATGCTTGGTACGAGCAGTGATGAACTTGGATTCTTCGCAAGTGAACTCGTTACTTTGACTGTACGCACCACATGTTCACGTTCTCCTGCTCAATCCCCAAATCGCTCTAGAAGACCCCACAACCAACAATGCTTCCTTCACTCCCTCCGCCATGTACCATGTACTCGGCCCTCTGTAGTAGAAAAGTACCACTGTAGCTTGTAACATCGCATCGCCACTAAACTGGAGCCTCATGTATGCCTGAATACATAAACCAGTAGCTAGATCGCCCGTCTATTTAGATCACCCGCCCATAATCAGAGTCAACAAACCCATCAATCTGACATGTGATTCTACCACCAAAAACACAAACCCGTTATCCGCAACGGCTACCCTTCAAGTACCTCAGGACCCACTTCACAGCCTTCCCAGTGCCGTGCTTTCCCGCGATTCGCCATTGAACCTGCTGACCACACTAACCACTTCGTGAAATATCTGGGCGCTGTACACACCATGGCGCTACAGCAAACTGCCAACTGTCACTAGCATAAGCGAACACGCCTCCATGTGTGCCTTATCTTCTGCTGTAGTGGCAGATTGTTTAGCCTGCAAAGCCTGAAGTGTGGCGAGTCAATGCGATGTCAGCCACCGAACTTAGCACTTTGCATCCCGAACCTCACGACTTTCACCCCGCCTCTATATAACCCTTCTGAACTCAAGAACAATCGCCGATTCCGCCCTCTCTTCTAATCTCCATACCCAGTATTTTTCTCAGCCTAGCGTACTATCCTTCATCTCGAAACTTCTTTTACCAAGTTGCAGATTTTATACCTATCTATCCTCCACCCCGCTCTTTAGAAGCAATAAGCATTGTCATTCCACATACAAAAAGGAGATAGCATATAATTTACCTCCACGAAGCTTCCGAATTGTAAACACAGCAAATCGCTAATCGCCTTCTGGCCGCAAAATGATATGTCAATTCTTTGTACACTTGCGAGGAGATTGCTTCAGTCCATAGCAGCTGGGCACTTCCCAAGCCGACATACATGATGCCTCTATATCCTCAACCTTGCATAACCCTCAGGTTGATGCATGTAGATTACTCTTCATCCAAGTCCTCCGTGCCCAAGAATGGCGTTTTTAACATTCAAGTTGGTTTCCAGACTCAGCATCACATGAGCAACAATACTCAATAGCACCCGAATAGAAGTGTGTTTCACCACCCGGAGAAAATATCTTATTGATAATCCATACCCTCCCTTTGCTTGCCAAAAAATCCTTTAAGCCACTAGCCTCGCCTTGTACCTGTGTAGCCACCGAGCTCTGAAGGATCTTCCTTTCTCTTATACACCCACTCTACAACCAATAGCTTTTTCTTCCTCACGCAGCAATGGACCACCTCCCATGTGGTTCTTCCGGAGAGATGTCCATACTCCTCCTCCATCGCAGCCAACAACTCTCGCTATACTCATATCCCGAATAGCTCTTGTAAGGAGACTGGCTTCATCTTCCTCCACCGCCGAGTGCCGTACTCAACCAAATTAACTTGGCCTTATAGTGCTTCAGGGTGTTGCATCAGCCCCTAGCTTTTGTACCTCTTATATGCTCGCTTTGCGCCTAGTGGAAGCCAAAGTATCCTCGGAGCTGTTGTTGGCTTGTAGGTGACTGTGTTACTTCTCCTGCCTGAACCTCTCCTGCTCAAACTCATAATCTACTTGATTTCCCAAACTTGAAACGATGACTAGAACCTGGTTTGGTCTTTAGGTTCTATCTCAATAACCTCGGGACAATTGAAGTCCCAACAGTTCTCAACACCATCATCCTTAGGCTGCCCTAGCAATCCATAGGATTTCTCATCAAGCGTAACGTCACCTCTGCATCACGAACTTTCGAATCTTCTGTTACACAAAGGCCCGTGCCCTTTTACGCCCTTTGCATACCCCAAAATATGCGCCTTTTTGGCCCTCGCGTCAAGCTTTCCCTTCATTGACGGATTAATAGCGCGGTACATCCTGAAAATGTCTGCAGTTTCTCATAATCGCATGCTCCCCTGACCATAACCCTATAGTGTATCACCATCCAATGTGACATGGCGGAGAAAACGGTTCATAATATAATATGATGGTAGCCACCGCCTTCAGCCCCACCATTGTCTGTCCAATTCTAGCATAAGGATCGCATACCTTATATGCCCTTCTCCCGTAATGCTTCGTTCCAGTCTCTCCGCCCGACCCCGTTCTTGCTGTGGTGTTGACCTGACTGTTCCAGCTGTTCGACAATGCCCTCCT